CACAATGGTTGAACTAATTTACATTCCCACCAGCAGTGTAGGAGGGTTCCCCTTTCTCCACAGCCTCGCCAACATTTGTGGTTGTTTGTCTTTTGGATGGTGGCCATCCTTACTGGTGTGAGGTGATATCTCATTGTGGTTTTAATTTGCATTTCTCTGATAACTAGCGATGTGGAGCATCTTTTGAGATAATATATTTTTTAAACTGATATATTTGACATAACATTGCATAAGTTTAAGATGTACAGTGTGTTGGTTTGATATGTTTATATATTTTCATATGATGAGAGTAGCATTAGTTAATTAACACCTTTAACCTTTCACATATTTATCATTTATTTTTTGTGTTGAGAAGTTGATAGTCTCTTAACAGCTTTGAAGTTTATGATACAGCATTGTTGGCTGCAGTCACTCTATTGTACATTGGGTGCCCAGAACCTATTTATCTACTCGTTGTAAGTTTGTACCCTTAAGCAATGTCTCCCCAATTTCCATACCCTCACCCCCTGGTTTACCATCATTTTATTCTGTTTTTACAAATACAATTTTTTTAGATTCTGCATATAAGTAATGCCATACAGTATTTGTCTTCTGATTTATCTTGCTCAGTATGATGTCTTCAAGGTCTATCCATGTTGATACAAATGGCAGGATGTCCTTCTTTCTCATGGCTGAATAATATTCTGTTGGGTAATACCACAGCATCTTTATCCATTCATCCATTCATGAATACTTAGCTTGTTTCCAGCTCTTGTGAATAATGCTGCAATGAACACAGGAGTGTAAATACACCTTCAGGATCCTGATTTCAGTTCCTTCAGATACATACCCAGCAGTGGGATTGCTGGGCCACATGGTAGTTCAATTTTTTATTTCTTGAGGAAACACCGGACTATTTTCCATAATGACTGTAGCAATTTACATTCCCACCAGTAGTGTAGAAGGATTCCCTTTCTCCATAGCCTCACCAATGTTTATTATTTCTTGGTAGACAGCTTCTTTAAAAACCAGATTCCTGGTCCAGACTATAGCCTTTGATTCAGAATCCCTGTGGATGGGGTCCTGGGCCCTACAATTTTAATGAGCTACTGAGGTGATTTTCTGCATTGCATTAGAGGTGGGGAGGGAGCAGGCCATGTGGTGCAAGGGAGAGCTCTGGAAAGCCTTGCTGTTTGCTAAAATGTCAAAGCTTAAAGGTCTCAATGAGATGTTGACCTGTAGCCTAGAATATACAGAGAATTGGCTTTGATTTTTGCCACTAGGTTCAGGAGAGAACTTTGCAGATAATTAAGACCATGTCTGAGCATGGGATAAAAGGACCACCTCTGGTTGAGAGAGACCCATATTTTTACCTGACTTAGAATACTGCCATTTGGAACTAGTCACCCCTCCGAAAATGTCCCTTCAACAGGATGACCCCATGGTGAGCTGTAGTAATTATATGTTGCTGTATAACAAATTACCCCAACAGTTAGTGGCTTAAAACAACAATAAATATTTATTATTGTTTATAGTTTCTGTGGGTCAAGAATTCAGAACCAACTTAACTGGGTGGTTCAAGATTTTTCATGAGGTTGCAGTCAACACATGGGCCAGGGCTACTGTCACCTGCAGGTTTGATTGGGGCTACATGATCCACTTCATCGTGGCTCACACACGTGGCAGTCCAGTTGGTGCTGACTGCTGGCAGTTTCTTTGCACATGGCCTCTCCACAGAGCAGCTGGAGGGTCCTCACAGCATGTTGGCCAACTTTCTCCAGACCAAGCAATCCCAAGTGGACAAAACTGAAGTTGTGATGCTCTTTATAACCTAGCTTTAGAAATCAAAAACTGTCATTTCTGCAATATGCTACTGTTCAAATAGGTCAGCCCTATTCGTTATGGGAGGGGGATTGCACAAAAATGTGACTACCAGGAGGTGAGGGATCACTGGGGACCGCTTTGGAGGCTGGCCACCATACAAGCAATATACCTTGTCTTTGAGCTAATGATAGTAACTGCTATTTATGGGGGGCTTACTATGTCCTAAATGCTATACCAGGCACCTTATAATAAAAACACACATTCTCATAATAATGCTAATGTTGT